CATGTTAGCCTAATCCATTCTCAAAAAGACAGAGCAATATACAGTATCAGATAGGTCCAATAAATAATGAATGGACATGTGGGGAGAACCGAATCATTCATGATTTCATGAATATCAGGACTGTGATATCTCAGAATATGATATCTCAGAATTAATGAATTAAATAATTAATGAATTAAGGGATGGTTGGATGAATGGATGAATGGATGGATTATTGAATGGTAATTGGTATATTATTAGGATCCCCATTAGCTGTTGCTAAAGCAGTAGCTACTCTTCCTGGGGTCCACGCAAAACATGAAACATGACATAAGACAGAACATTAATAGACAAGAACAGCTCAAGGACACAACTACATCACTTTTTTTATACATAAAAAAAACCTACGTATTTTTATGCATACGTAGCCTACATATCAATACATACACACAAACTATCTAGGTCAAATAGGGGAGAGGTGTTGTGCCCTGAGGTGTTGCTTTATCTGTTATTTTTTTAAAACCAGGTTTGCTGTTCATTTGAGCAATATGAGATGGAAGGGAGTTCCATGCAATAATGGCTCTATATACTGTACGCTTTCTTGAATCTGTTCTGGATTTGGGGACTGTGAAAAGACCCCTGATGGCATGTCTGGTGGGGTAAGTGTGTGTGTCAGAGCTGTGTTTAAGTTGACTATGCAAACAATTTGGGATTTTCAACACATTAATGTTTCTTATAAAAATAAGAAGTGATGCAGTCAGTCTCTCCTCAACTCTTAGCCAAGAGAGACTGGCATGCATAGTATTTGTATTAGCACTCTGGTTACAATGAAGGGCAAGATGTGCCGCTCTGTTCTGGGCCAGCTGCAACTTAACTAAGTCTTTCCTTGCAGTACTCGACCACACAACTGGACAATAATCAAGATAAGACAAAACTAGAGCCTGCAGGACTTGCTTTTTGGAGTGTGGTGTCAAAAAAGCAGAGCATCTCTTTATTACAGACAGACCTCTCCCCATCTTTACAACCATTGAATCTATATGTTTTGACCATGACAGTCTACAATCTAAGGTAACACCAAGTAATTTTGTTTCCTCAACTTGTTCAACAGCCACATCATTCATTACCAGATTCAGCTGAGGTCTAGAACTTAGGGAATGATTTGTACCAAATACAATGCTCTTAGTTTTAGAGATGTTCACGGCCAGTTTATTACTGGCCACCCATTCCAAAACAGACTGCAACTCTTTGTTAAGGGTTTCAGTGACTTCATTAGCTGTGGTTGCTGATGCGTATATGGTTGAATCATCAGCATACAGTGAGGGAAAAAAGTATTTGATCCCCTGCTGATTTTGTACATTTGCCCACTGACAAAGACATGATCAGTCTATAATTGTAATGGTAGGTTTATTTGAACAGTGAGAGACAGAATAACAACAACAAAATCCAGAAAAACGCATGTCAAAAATGTTATAAATTGATTTGCATTTTAATGAGGGAAATAAGTATTTGACCCCGTCTCAATCAGAAAGATTTCTGGCTCCCAGGTGTCTTTTATACAGGTAACGAACTGAGATTAGGAGCACACTCTTAAAGGGAGTGCTCCTAATCTCAGTTTGTTACCTGTATAAAAGACACTTGTCCACAGAAGCAATCAATCAATCAGATTCCAAACTCTCCACCATGGCCAAGACCAAAGAGCTCTCCAAGGATGTCAGGGACAAGATTGTAGACCTACACAAGGCTGGAATGGGCTACAAGACCATCGCCAAGCAGCTTGGTGAGAAGGTGACTACAGTTGGTGCGATTATTCGCAAATGGAAGAAACACAAAAGAACTGTCAATCTCCCTCGGCCTGGGACTCCATGCAAGATCTCACCTCGTGGAGTTGCAATGATCATGAGAACGGTGAGGAATCAGCCGAGAACTACACGGGAGGATCTTGTCAATGATCTCAAGGCAGCTGGGACCATAGTCACCAAGAAAACAATTGGTAACACACTACGCCGTGAAGGACTGAAATCCTGCAGCGCCCGCAAGGTCCCCCTGCTCAAGAAAGCACATATACAGGGCTGTCTGAAGTTTGCCAATGAACATCTGAATGATTCAGAGGAGAACTGGGTGAAAGTGTTGTGGTCAGATGAGACCAAAATCAAGCTCTTTGGCATCAACTCAACTCGCCGTGTTTGGAGGAGGAGGAATGCTGCCTATGACCCCAAGAACACCATCCCCACCGTCAAACATGGAGGTGGAATCATTATGCTTTGGGGGTGTTTTTCTGCTAAGGGGACAGGACAACTTCACCGCATCAAAGGGACGATGGACGGGGCCATGTACCGTCACATCTTGGGTGAGAACCTCCTTCCCTCAGCCAGGGCATTGAAAATGGGTCGTGGATGGGTATTCCAGCATGACAAGACCCAAAACACACGGCCAAGGCAACAAAGGAGTGGCTCAAGAAGAAGCACATTAAGGTCCTGGAGCGGCCTAGCCAGTTTCTAGACCTTAATCCCATAGAAAATCTGTGGAGGGAGTTGAAGGTTCGAGTTGCCAAACGTCAGCCTCGAAACCTTAATGACTTGGAGAAGATCTGCAAAGAGGAGTGGAACAAAATCCCTCCTGAGATGTGTGCAAACCTGGTGGCCAACTACAAGACACGTCTGACCTCTGTGATTGCCAACAAGGGTTTTGCCACCAAGTACTAAGTCGTGTTTTGCAGAGGGGTCAAATACTTATTTCCCTCATTAAAATGCAAATCAATTCATAACATTTTTGACATGCGTTTTTCTGGATTTTCTTGCTGTTATTCTGTCTCTCACTGTTCAAATAAACCTACCATTAAAATTATAGACTGAACATGTCTTTGTCAGTGGGCAAACGTACAAAATCAGCAGGGGATCAAATACTTTTTTCCCTCACTGTACATGGATACATGCTTTGTTTAATGCCAGTGGCAGGTCATTGGTAAAAATAGAAAAGAGTAGAGGGCCTAGAGAGCTGCCCTGCGGTACACCACACTTTACATGTTTGACATTAGAGAAGCTTCCATTAAAGAAAACCCTCTGAGTTCTATTAGATAGATAGCTCTGAATCCACGATATGGCAGAGGTTGAAAAGCCATAACACATACGTTTTCTCAACAACAGGTTATGGTCAATAATGTCAAAGGCTGCACTGAAATCTAACAGTACAGCTCCCACAATATTCTTATTATAAATTTCTTTCAACCCATCATCAGTCATTTGTGTCAGTGCAGTACATGTTGAATGCCCTTCTCTATAAGCATGCTGAAAGTCTGTTATTAATTTGTTTACAGAGAAATACATTGTATTTGGTGAAACATTTTTTTTCCCAACAGTTTGCTAAGAGCTGGCAGCAAGCTGATAGGTCTGCTGTTAGAACCAGTAAAGGCCACTTTACCACTCTTGGGTAGCAAAATGACTGTGGCTTCCCTCCAGGCCTGAGGACAAATACTTTCCTCTAGGCTCAGATTAAAGATATGACAGATAGGAGTGGCTATAGAGTCAGCTACCATCCTCAGTAGCTGTTAATTCCAGGAGGTTTGTCATTATTGATCGATAGCAATCATTTTCCCACCTCTCCCACACTAACTTCACAAAATTCAAACTTGCAATGCTTTTTTTCCATAATTTGTTATTTTTATGCATGAGTACGATGGCTCACTGTTATTTGTTGGCATTTCCTGCCTAAGTTTGCCCACTTTGCCAATGACATAATCATTTAAATAATTGGTAACATCAAATGGTTTTGTGTAAGTGAATGAATAGTTTTAGACCAGTAGCTCTTAAATTGACTTAAATGTCAAACATTTTAATCAGTTGAAATGCAAATAAGCTGTATAGTGATCTTGTATTAAATCATCTACACAGTCTATAGTTTTAGTTTGGAATAACTGTATTCCAGCATGTTGATCATCTAGTATAAAATGTAATCATTCTATTATGCACAGCATGCACACAACGTCAAAGACAAATAATAATGTTTTAGACAGCCTATATTCTCTACTTTCCCTTTGGAAATACATAAGCAGCATTTATATACATTTATTACAAAAATACATTGAATATATTTACCTTTTTTGTAGTTGAATAACTTTAACAGAGATCCAAGAGAGACTCTTCAAAGCAAGTATTGTGAGAAGGCTATCTGCCCAGGGTTATCATCAGTCCCCTCTGTCAATCTGTCTCCCTTTAAGTAGTCCACCTTTTCACTGCTTTACTCGATTCAGGAGCAATCTGGCCGGTGGGGGGGACCTCTACCACTGAGGTCCAGTTCCATGGCATGGACAGTCTAATGATTTCACCACTGCTGTCTATTAACTGAAGTACACAGTAGGAAATGGATTGAATGTTAAATGTAGCTATACAGTACCATGTATACATGTCCAATGATTAGTGATATTTCTGAACGTGAAAGAAAAAGACATGGGTAGAGAAATACTATTTTTTCTCAAGTTTATTAGCTTTGTTTCAAAAGATTCCTTCATACAAATGAATCTCTCATCATACTTACAGAATCTCAAATATGTAGTACAGTATATCATACACATGGTAATGAACCTAGTACATTTATCATACACATGGCAATGGACATAGTAGCTACATTTATAATGATTTAATCTTAACTATTAATACTCTGGATAGGACTCATATCTTAAAAGCAGTGCCAAAGCTCATTACATTATAGACCATCTCTGGTGCTACATAGTTACATAGTGTAGTAGCCTAACAAAATGCAACTAGTATGGTTTCGGGATATTACCCAACAATGAACTGCATTTTTTATTGACGCATATCATAAAAGTTACATGACAAACAATGGACCGTTGCAGTATTTGCAATGATATGTCATTTAATTATTTCCCATTTTGACAAGACATTAATAAACAGACAAACACACCTAATAACAACAGTTAAAGAAATCACATCATGTTCCTGTCCAGTTATAACACATGATAACATATAAGGGTCCTTGGTAAAATGTCTGAAGTGAACAGGTAGTTATTTCTCCGGTGTGTGACTCTCATCCTCTTCAGGGTTCTGAGTGGCTGCCTCTGGTCCACTCTGTGATTGGTCCGTGGAGTTCTGCTCTCGGCTCAGTGACGGCAGGAGGAGATATTCCAGCTCCTCAGCGCTGATGGCCACTTTCTCAGGTACCAGCCAACGCTTTAGATGCTCCAGGGCACTGTGAAGAACAGATGGAAGTTATCACACATCCTTTCATTACAAAAAGAGGCAAAGTACTGGGCGACTTCAACCTCCCAATGCCTGACTTCAACTCATTTCTTTCCACCACTTTCTTTACCCTCCTTGCCTCTTTTGACATCACCCAGTCCCCTCACACTCACATGGCAGGCAATACGCTTACTAATCTCACTGCAACCCCCCTCCAGGTCTCAGACTGCAAGCCCCCTCCAGGTCTCAGACTGCAATCCCCCTCCAGGTCTCATAACTACTTTGATCTCCCTCTCTCATCCAATCCTACCCACTCAGCCCCTACCCAGATGGTCATGGACTTTCGCAATCTTCACTCCCTCTCCTCTTCTATCCTATCATCTCTCCCTTCTGCTAAATCCTTCTCCCGCCTGTCTACTGACTCTGCCGCGTCGACCCTACTCTCCTCCCTATTTGCCTCATTTGACTCCAACTATCCCCTTTCCTCCCGGCCAGCTCGAACCTCCCCTCCTGCTCCGTGACTGCATGCTTGCAGAACAGCGCATTAGCTGAGTGACTGCGTGCTCTAAGAACAGGACTGCGGGCAGCTGAGTGACAATGGAGGAAAAATAAACTTCTGGAGGACTTATCATCCTTCCACTCTACCTTCTCTTCTTCTGTATCCGCTGCTAAAGCCGCTTTCTATCATTCTATTCCAAGTCTCTGCCTCCAACCCTGGGAAACAATTTTTCCACCTTCTCCTCCCTTCTTAATCCTCCACCTACTCCTCCTCCCTGCGGACTACTTTGTCAACCACTTTGAAAAAAAAGTTTGACGACATCCGCTCCTCATTCACTCAGCCTACTGAGTCCACTGGTCCCACTCACACAGAACTACCCTACGCCTTGACCTCTTTCTCCCCTCTCTCTCTCTCCAGATGAAATCCTGCGAGTAGTAATGTCCAGTCACCCGACAACCTGCCCACTCCATCCCCTCTTCCTTTCTCCAGACTATCTCCAAAGACCTTCTCCCATTCCTCTCCATCTCATCCCTGACCATTGGCTGCGTCCCCTCTGACTTGAAGATGGCCAGAGTTGCTCCCCTCCTAAAGAAGCCAACACTCGACCCCTCTGATGTCACTGCTCTCTGTGTCGTGGAGGCTCTCCGCTCTGCCAAAGCTGACTCTCTCTCCTCTGTTGTTATCCTCCTAGATCTATCCATTGCCTTAGACACTGTGAACCATCTGATCTTCCTCTCCACCTTCTCAGGGCTGGGCGTCTCAGGCTCTGCACACTCCTGGATTGCATCCTACCTGGCAGGTCGATCCTACCAGGTGGTGTGGAGAGGATCTGTGTTTGCACCACATGTTCTCATTGCTGGTGTAGGGCTCGGTTCTAGGCCCTTTCCTCTTTTCTCTATACACCATGTCACTCAGCTTCGTCATCTCCTCTCATGGTCTCTACTATCACTGCTATGTGGATGACACTCAACTACTTTTCTCATTCCCCCTTTCTGATACCCAGGTAGCAACACGCTTCTCTGCATGCCTTGCAGATATCTCAGCTTGGGTGTCGGCCCACCACCTCAAGCACAACCTCGACAAGACGGAGCGGCTCTTCTTCCTGGGAAAGGCCTGCTCCCTCCAAGACCTCACCATCACGGTTGACAACTCCACGGTGTCCCCCTCCCAGAGAGTAAAGAACCTTGGCGTGACCCTGGACAACATCCTGTCATTCTCTGCAAACCTTTCCTCACACAAGAAGCGGTGCTGGGCTCCCGCTTGTGCCATCAAACCCATGCAACTTATCCAGAATGCCACAGCCCATCTGGTGTTCTGGTGTTCAACCTTTGCAAGTTCTCCCATGTCACCCTGCTCCTCCGTACACTCCACTGGCTCCCAGTCGAAGCTCGCATCCACTACAAGACCATGGTGGTTGCCTACGGAGCAGCAAAGGGAACTGCCCCTCCCTACCTTCAGGCTATGCTCAAACCCTACATCCCAACCCGAGCACTCCATTCTGACACCTCTGGTCTCTTGGCCGTCCCACCCCTACGGGAGGTCTGCTCCCGCTCAGCCCAGTCAAAGCTCTAATCTGTCTTCCTTGCCCATCTCCCGAAAAACGTCTTAAACCCTCCCTCATCAAAGAGTATCTTAAATAAGACATCTCAGTCGTACACCCCCCAAAAAATAAAATAAAATACATTTCCTACTAGCAGTGACTTTGCTGATCACTTCTTTTTTGAGGAAGAATATACTTACTACGACTGTGATATGTGGTTGTCTCACCTAGCTATCTTAAGATGAATGCACTTACTGTAAGTCGCTCTGGATAAGAGCGTCTGCTAAATGACGTAAATGACTTAAATGTAAAATGTTTATAACAAAACAATCCATGGACCTGTAAGACACTTTATAAGCTCAGCCTCCAAAGCTGTCCAGAGATAGTGGAGAAAGTTAATAGGCCTACTTCTAACAGTACAACAAATTATGCTCTTCAGCTCACCTCTGATCTAGTTCGCCCTCCTGAAAGAGTTCCGAGCTCTGAGCGTCATGCAAGAATCTATCCCAGCATTCTTTTTTGGCCTGAGATAGGGAGCGCAGCATCTCCCTGGAAGTCACCTCAGTACACTGGCCCTTTATTCTCTTCAGACGGTTCTCTGAAAGACAGGATTTATATTCAACTTCAATAGTATGTTAAGAACTATGGGATTAGGATTAATAGAACCTTGATTTCCGACCTTGATTTCCAGCTTTCTCACAATCATTCCAAATAGCCGAGTGAAAATGAGACTTAGAAGTGTGTTGAAAGAGGAGAATAGGATCAACAGTAAAGTCCCACTGGGCACAGATGTCAATTCAATGTCTATTCCACGTTGGTTCAACGTAATTTCATTGAAATGACGTGGAAACAACGTTGATTCAACCAGTGTATGCCCAGTGGGATATGCATTCGGATACTTTCATATTAATTATTCCTCTCTTTCTGGACATAGAATTGATGCATGAGAAGTTTTACACTACTGTTTACATGTATCCAACATCGAAATGGAAAGAATGCTGACCCTCTAAACTACAGTAAAGCATTGGTGGTGGTCACCAAACCCACAGACAACTGTTGGGTCTGCAAGCTTTTGTTCCACCCTAGTACTTACACAGGTGTTGGAGTTAAAGTCAAGGACCAGTGTTGATGGCATCAAAAGGGCCATAGATAAGGGTGGAGGAACACACATGACAGAAGATCGATATTAGATTGACTTTACCTAAACTAGCAATGTAGACATCCGAGTCTTCCATAGGTTCCCAGGCGCTGTGAGAGGAGGAACTCGTAGACATGCCATTAGATTGCAGGCCATTGCCAACATGTGAGGGTTGGAATGAATCTGTGAACAGTGTGGCATCATCCCCCCCTTGGCCTTGAGCTTCCTTCTGCACGTCAGGCAGGCTCGAGCAGATCTCTGACCACAGCTCACGGCTGGACCGAGTCTCATGACTCTCGAACTCGTCAATCATCTTCATGCAGATGCAGTCTGTTGAGAAAAGAATGTCAACAACATAGGACAACTCTATGAACAGATAGCTAGCTCAATAATCAATTCAGTGATAACTAGCTTGAGTAATGCGATTAAGTTAGACGGTATACCAATTGCAAGGTGTTGGTAAACTTTTCGCCAAATTAGAAATTATCTAAACAGCAATGAATGAGAATGTTTCTACGTTATTTGTTAGATACCAAGTTGCCGCGTTAGCGTTAAATTAATCACATTGTCATTGGAATTAAAAAATTATAGCTAACTGGTAGCTAAACGTTCACGCTGCTAAACGTGTTATCTTGGTGTCTTACCTTCAAATAAAATGTAAAGCAACTAAACCGTATTTTCCAGGCAGTAGGACTTAAACTTGCCAACGTTAGCTAGCTAGCCTACTAGTCTAGCTGGAATCCTAAACAAAATCCAAACTCTCCTCCTTTGGCGTGTTTTGAGTGATCTGATTAGATGGGGTAACTGTCTGTCAAGTCATTCTGGGGTTCTATTGGTGCTCATTGGCTTTCAGTTATGTTAACCCAAAATTATTGGTCAGCTATGGTAGTCATGTGTGAGGACCAGGAAGTGTCCTACAACGGAGTCCAAATCTTGAAGATCGATGGTGGTAAATAGCTACTACCAAGGTACGTGTTCATAATTAGGAAAAGCTTTGCTACTCATATTAGTGTTACATGTAGTATTTTATGAGTTATGCAAACAAAACCAACCGTTTTTGCTACGTTCGCTGGCTAGCTAACAAAGGTGCTATAGTCGATTGTTTTTATATTCTCTGAAAAGGTAACGTTAGCTATTTGTTATGTAGTTTGTAGCTACTTAGTGAGTGTGACAAGTGTGTCGCGCGCGCGCGCGCGCGGTCGGTCTGAGCATACCTTGCAATGGGGTCTTTGTGTGACAGTGTGTGTTTTTATTGACATTGTCAGGGAGCTCCACCAGTGTAGGAGATGCAAGCAGTGTTCAGACTGGCAGTATTGGCAGTCCCTATGGGTGTGCTGCTGTCAAGAACCATGGCATGGATGTCCACTGGAAAGACACACCCAGAACTTATCAACCGCCTGAGAGGTATGAGAGACTGATCTCAGTCCTGGGCTGCGTTCAGCAGGACACAACATTGTGGAATGTTCAGATGGAAACATGTTACATTGACCTGTGGTTCTCAACCTTTTTTGGTTACTGTACCACCAAGTACCCCCTCATGTGCATTTTACCAGTAAGCCTATGGTCTCGAGTCTTCTCAAGGACCCCCTTGGGATAGGCCAAGTACCCAGAGGGGTACTACCCCTGGTTGAGAACTACTGATGTAGACCAAATATGCCCCTCTGGCATATAGAGCAGGAAACACACTATTGCAAGGTGCAAACAGTTTTGTTTTTTGCTGTTGAATATTGATGCCCATATCCTGCTAAAAAGCCACTGTGTTCAATAATTGTCTTTGAAAATGGCCTCCTTTACTCCAAAGAACATGGGGTTATCCGCAGTGATCGGGTGTTTGACGCCATGCTTGCCACCGACCGAGGGATCTACTCCAGAGACTACCCGTATGCTGACTCTCCTCAGTCCATAGGTACAGTGCCTAGTGAAAGTCTACACATCTAATATATATATATATATATATATATATATATATATATATATTTAAACTAAGATGTCTTGATTGCGTTTGTCTTCACACCCCAGAGTTAATACGATACTTGGTGGAAGCACCTTTGGCAGCCATTACAGCTGTGAATCATTTTGAATACGATTCTACCAACTTTGCACAACTCTTAGGGCAAGATACTGTATATCCATTGTTTTTGTAAAAATTGCTCAAGCTCAGTAAATTTGGTTGAGAGTTATTGATGGACAGCAATATTTAAACCTTCTCTCTGATTTTCAAGCAGATTTAAGTCAGGACTGAGATTGGAACATTCAGGAACACAACATCTGTTAGAAAGCCATTCTGGTGTGTCTTTGGCATTGAAATGTGTGTAATTGTCCCGCTGAAAATTAAAATGCTATTCCAGGGTTAGGTATTAAGAAGACTGAGGCAGGGTTTCCTCTAACTTTTTTATCTGGGCTTTGATCCATTCATATTTCAAGCATACCAATAACATGATGCTGCCACCACAATACTTGAAAATACAGAGGATCAACAACATTGTGTTCACTCCACATTACTGGCCTGTATGACAAAGTAAAAAGAAGGAAGCCTTTGTTAATAAATAAAAAATCCACTCTAAATCCTCCATTCAATTTGCAACACGGCCATTAAGTAATACTGCAAGACAACACTGCAATTTTGTAAGTATTGTGGTGGTAGCATCATGTTATGGGTATGCTGGAAGTTTTGTCATGTTCAAAATAAATATGAAAGGAGCAAATCTCAGGTAAAAGGTACAAGGGAAATCCACCTCAGTCTTCTGAAAACCTAACCCTGGGATAGTTAAATTTTTTAGCGGGACAATTACAAAACATGTAATGCCAAAGACACACCAGAATGGATTTCCAAGAGGTGTTGAGTGTTCCTGAGAGTTCCAGTCTCAGTCTTGACTTAATTTAGCTTGAAAATCAGAGAATAGGCTTATAATATTGCTGTCCATCAATGATTCCCAACCAAATTTACTGGGCTTGAGCAATTTTGATGAAAACAATGGATATACACTGAGTGATCAAAACATTAAGAACACCTTCCTTATATTGAGTTGCTTCAATATTAGAAATATTAGGAATTACTTCAGGGTAATTTACATAGGTTATAGGACTTCATCAATCTTTTTTTAGTTTTGTTCATTGATCTGCATTATATACAGAGTATACCTAATATTGAGTTGCACCCCCACTTTTGCCCTCAGAACAGCCTCAATTCGTCAGGGTATGAACTCTACAAGTTGTCGAAAGCGTTCTACAGGGATGCTGGCCCATGTTGCTTCCCACAGTTGTGTCAAGTTGGCTGGATAATCCTTTGTGTGGTGGACCATTCTTGATGCACATGGAAAACTGTTGAGCATGAGAAATCCAGCAGCATTGCAGTTCTTGACACAAACCGGTGCGCCTGGCACCTACTATCATACCCCGTTCAAAGGCACTTAAATATTTTGTCTTGCCCATTCACCCTCTGAATGGCACTATACAAAATCCATGTCTCGATTGTCTCAAGGCTTAAAAATCCTTCTTTAACCTGTCAACTCCCCTTTCATCTACACTGATTGAAGTGGATTTAACAAGTGACATCAATAAGGGATCATAGCTTTCACCTGGTCAGTCTATGTCATGTAAAGAGCAGGTGTTCTTAATGTTTTGTACACTCAGTGTATGTTGCCCTAAGCGTTGTGCAAAGTTGGTAGAATCTTATTCAAAATGATTTACAGCTGTAATGGCTGCCAAAGGTGCTTCCACCAAGTATTAACTCTGGGGTGTGAAGACGTACACAATCAAGACATCTTAGCTTTTTTTAAATACATTTTTATTGTATAGTTATATTTTTGATAATTTCTCTTTCACTTTGAAAATGTGAAGTAGGTTGTGTAGATCTGTAGGAAAAAATCTAATATATTCACTTTTTAGATTACATTTTAAGGCAGAAAATGTGAAGACTGTGCAAGGGGTGTGTAGACTTTCACTAGCGACTATACATTCTGACTAGCATACAAACTTGTACAAAGTAGCATAATTGACAGTTGAATAGATGACTATCACTACATACAGTACATAATGATCTCCTTTGTTTTCATAGGATTCAAGGCAACAATCAGTGCTCCACACATGGTAAGTGTTTCAGTATAGAACTTGTAATTTTCTAAGTAGGAAAGATAATGACACAATGCTCAATATGGATGCTGTCTGGTGTTTATTCAGCATGCACATGCCCTGGAGGTGCTAAGTGACAAGCTAATGGATGGGGCATCTGCATTGGATGTGGGATCAGGAAGTGGCTATCTCACAGCGTGCTTTGCGAGGATGGTAAATTCCAGAATCGATTTGTATGAGTTCATACTTTACAATAATCATATTTGTGATATTTCCTCATAGTAATTTGCTTCTCTTTCCCTTTGTAGGTAGGGCCGACAGGGAAAGTAGTAGGGATTGAACACATAGATGAGCTGGTCCAAACCTCTGTGAGGAACGTCCAGGCTGACGACCCCGAGCTGCTCTCTTCAGGGCGTATCAGACTTGTCGGTAAGTCCGGTGACTGAAAGGCTATGTATTCAGCTCTATGTTCAGACAACATACAATGCAAATTATAGGTCATGTTTTTTGTTAAACAAATAATGAAAGATGTAAAGGTTGAGTTGGCAAACCATATTTAGTCATCATGAGACACTATATGTTTGTATTGGTGTCTGATAAATCTGAGATTTCTCAGTGGTGTCATTCCCTATGGGATTAGTGACCATTCAATAATTTATTGCACAAGAAAGGCTCAGAAAATGCTCTTACTGTCGCAACATAATATAATAATAACATAATAATAACTGTTAGGTGTCTGAAACATTATAGCAAAGATGCATTTATTGATCACTTGAATAAAGTACATTGGGACCCGGTACTTACATGTCTAAATATGGATAAAGCATGGGACTGTTTCAACAACTGTTTCTTAAGCATTGTGGATATAGTGGCTCCATGGAAAACCATAGGAATTAAAACAAAGAACTGAACCTTGGATGAATCAGGAAATCCTTGAGGCCGTTAAATCAAGGAATACTGCATTTCTAGAATATAACAGAACCAAAGAGGAAGATGCTTTCACTAGACACAGAACCCTAAGGAACAAAGCTAGTCAGATGATTGAAGATGCCAAAAATTCATATTTTAAAACAAAATTGGTGAGAATAGGCATACTCCTAGGATGTTGTGGCAGTCCCTAAAACAGTAGGGATATAGAAATAAACAGAAAACGAATAGCAAAAGCTTGGTTAGTGAGGTCAATGGAGAAGTCACGTTTGACAAGGAAGTGGCAGCTGACAATCTCAATACCGTTTTCACAACAGTTTCCTCAAATTTGGTTGAGAAGCTACCCGGTTGTACTGGAGTGTATGGTAGGGTCAGGTCCTAGGCTATTACTCCAAGATGGGTGTACAAGCTGATGCCTTTTCCTATTTTCGCGTTTCTCAGGCTGAAGTTGTCAAGAGAACTAAACTGCTCTAAAGCTACAGGCCTCAACAATATCCCTGCCAGGTTTTTAAGAGGTTCCCACGGATACGAAACTTGCTAGAGTGATCCCTGTCTACAAGAAGGGCAGCAAAACAGACAAGTGCAACCTGTATCTATTTTGAGTGTGCTGTCTAAAGTGCTGGAAAAATAAATGTATGAACAGATAGAGGAATATACTAGTAAGAATAATATTTTATACGAACTACAGTCTGGTTTTTAAAAGTCCCACTCCACTGACACGTCTATTGTTTTTAACTGACTTTATCAGGAAAGAAGTTGACCAGGGAAATTTCTGTGGAATGGTAATGCTGGATCTGCAGAAGGCATTTGACATGGTTGTTCATATTATCATGCTCTATAAGTTTAAAAGCCTTTGGTTTTAAGAGCAGGGCCACTGACTGGGTTACATCCTATTTAATAGGTAGAGACCAAATGATGGATGTTAATGGAAAACATTATATTGCAAAGGGGATTAGCTGTGGGGTGCCACAGGGGAGGACCTTGGCACACTTCTCTTCCTACTGTACATTAACGATATGAAATCAGCCTGCTCTTGTAATTCGTTTTTGTATGCTGATGACTCTGCTCTACTGATGTCCCATAAGAACAAAGCCTCAGTAGAAGAGATCCTTAGTGCGGCGTTATCCAATATCACTAAATGGCTTTCAGATAACAAACTTTCAGTGCATCTTGGAAAAACAGAATCCATCTTATTTGGTTCCAGAGTAAAGCTTGCAAGGCCCCCTAGTTTTAGTTGCAAAGCAACTCAGTGGTTACACCAAAAACCTCAGTCAGCTAGCTTGGGTGTGAATTGGATAGGTACAGTTGAAGTCGGAGGTTTACATACACCTTAGCCAATTACATTTAATCCTAGTAAAAATTCCCTATTTTAGGTCAGTTAGGATCACTACTTTACTATTATTCTGACATTTCACATTCTTAAAATAGAGAGAATGATTTATTTAAGCTTTTATTTCTTTCATCACATTCCCAGTGGGTCAGAAGTTTACATACACTCAATTAGTATTTGGAAGCATTACCTTTAAATTGTTTAACTTGGGTCAAACGTTTCGGGTAGCCTTCCAGAAAGCTTCCCACAATAAGTTGGGTGAATTTTGGCCCCTTCCTCCTGACAGAGCTGGTGTAACTGAGTCAGGTTTGTAGGCCTCCTTGCTCGCACACGCGTTTTCAGTTCTGCCCACACATTTTCTATAAGAGGTCAGGGCTTTGTGATGGCCACTCCAATACCTTGACTTTGTTGTCCTTAAGCCATTTTGCCACAACTTTGGAAGTATGCTTGGGGGTCATTGTCCATTTGGAAGACCCATTTGCGACCAAGCTTTAACTTCCTGACTGATGTCTTGAGATGTTGCTTCAATATATCCACATAATTTTCCTCCCTCATGATGCCATCTATTTTTTGAAGTGCAACAATCCCTCCTGCAGCAAAGCACCCCCACAGCATGATGCTGCCACCCCCGTGCTTCACGGTTGGGATGGTGTTCTTCGGCTTGCAAGCCTTCCCCTTTTTCCTCCAAAAATAACGATGGTCATTATGGCCAAACAGTTCTATTTTTGTTTCATCAGACCAGAGGACAATTCTCCAAAAAGTAAGATCTTTGTCTCCATGTGCAATTGCAAACCATAGTCTGGCTTTTTTATGGCGGTTTTGGAGCAGTAGCTTCTTCCTTGCTGAGCGGCCTTTCAGGTTATGTCGATATAGGACTCGTTTTACTGTGGATATACAGTGGGGAGAACAAGTATTTGATACACTGCCGATTTTGCAGGTTTTCCTACTTACAAAGCATGTACAGGTCTGTAATTTTTATCATAGGCACACTTCAACTGTGAGAGACGGAAAATCACATTGTATGATTTTTACATTTTATTGGATGAAATAAGTATTTGATCACCTACCAACCAGTAAGAATTCCGGCTCTCACAGACCTGTTAGTTTTTCTTTAAGAATCCCTCCTGTTCTCCACTCATTACCTGTATTAACTGCACCTGTTTGAACTCGTTACCTGTATAAAAGACACCTGTCCACACACTCAATCAAACAGACTCCAACCTCTTCACAATGAACAAGACCGGAGAGCTGTGTTAGGACATCAGGGATAAAATTGTAGACCTGCACAAGGCTGGGATGGGCTACAGGACAATAGGCAAGCAGCTTGGTTGGCGCAATTATTAGAAAATGGAAGAAGTTCAAGATGACGGTCAATCATCCTCGGTCTGGGGCTCCATGCAAGATCTCACCTCGTGGGGCATCAATGATCATAAGGAAGGTGAGGGATCAGCCCAGAACTACCGTTAGGACCTGGTCAATGACCTGAAGAGAGCTGGAACCACCGTCTCAAAGAAAACCATTAGTAACACACTATGCCGTCATGGATTAAAATCCTGCAGCGCACGCAAGGTCCCCCTGCTCAAGCCAGCGCATGTCCAGGCCCGTCTGAAGTTTGCCAATGACCATCTGGATGATCCAGAGGAGGAATGGGAGAAGGTCATGTGGTCTGATGAGACAAAAATATAGCTTTTTGGTCTAAACTCCACTCGCCATGTTTGGAGGAAGAAGAAGGATGAGTACAACCCCAAGAACACCATCCCAACCGTGAAGCATGGAGGTGGAAACATCATTCTTTGGGGATGCTTTTCTGCAAAGGGGACAGGACGACTGCACCGTATTGAGGGGAGGATGGATGGGGCCATGTATCGCGAGATCTTGGCCAACAACCTCCTTCCCTCAGTAAGAGCATTGAAGATGGGTCGTGGCTGGGTCTTCTAGCATGACAACGACCCGAAACACACAGCCAGGGCAACTAAGGAGTGGCTCCGTAAGAAGCATCTCAATGTCCTGGAGTGGCCTAGCCAGTCTCCAGACCTGAACCCAATAGAAAATCTTTGGAGGGAGCTGAAAGTCCGTATTGCCCAGCGACAGCCCCGAAACCTGAAGGATCTGGAGAAGGTCTGTATGTAGGAGTGGGCCAAAATCCCTGCTGCCGTGTGTGCAAACCTGGTCAAGACCTACAGGAAACATATGATCTCTGTAATTGCAAACAAAGGTTTCTCTACCAAATATTAAGTTCTGCTTTTTCTGATGTATCAAATACTTATGTCATGCAATAAAATGCAAATTAATTACTTAAAAATCATACAATGTGATTTTCTGGATTTTTGTTTTAGATTCCGTCTCTCACAGTTGAAGTGTACCTATGATAAAAATTACAGACCTCTACATGCTTTGTAAGTAGGAAAACCTGCAAAATCGGCAGTGTATCAAATACTTGTTCTCCCCACTGTAGATACTTTTGTACCTGTTTCCTCCAGCATCTTCACAAAGTCCTTTGCTGTTGTTCTGGGATTGCTTTGCACTTTTCGCACCAAAGTACGTTCATCTCTAGGAGACAGAACACGTCTCCTTCCTGAGCGGTATGACGGCTGTGTGGTCCCATGGTGTTTATACTTGCGTACTATTGTATGTACAGATGACCGTGGTACCTTCAGGCGTTTGGAAATTGCTCCCAAGGATGAACCAGACTTGTGGAGGTCTACAATTTTTTTCCTGAGGTCTTGCCTGATTTATTTTGATTTTCCCATGATGTCAAGCAAAGAGGCACTGAGTTTGAAGGTAGGCCTTGAAATACATCCACAGGTACACCTCCAATTGGATTCAAATGATGTCAATTAGCCTATCAGAAGCTTCTAAAGCCATGACATAATTTTCTGGAATTTTCCAAGCTGTTTAAAGGCACCGTCAACTTAGTGTATGTAAACTTCTGACCCACTGGAATTGTGATACAGTGAATTATAAGTGAAATAATCTGTCTGTAAACAATTGTTGGAAAAATTACTTTTGTCATGCACAAAGTAGATGTCCTAACCGACTTGCCAAAACTATAGTTTGTTAACAAGACATTTGTGGAGTGGTTGAAAAACGAGTTTTAATTCGTTTTAAGTGTATGTAAACGTCAGACTTCAACTGTACCTGACTGGTGAGACTATGGCCCTAAAGGTTTTAATAAAGATAAACCAAAAAATTTAATTCGTAGCTCGGACCTCAAAATATCTTGATAGTGGCACCCTAAAGACTCTGGCAGGTGCGCTACTTCAGTGTCACTTTGATTATGCGTGGACATCATGGTTCACCAGCATCCCTAAACATCTAAAGATCATGTTAAACTACAGACCAGCCAAAACAAGCTGGTGAGAGTTGTACTTAAACTCCCCCCTCGTACTCATCTGGAGGTCAAACGTTTTAATTATCTAGGCTGGCTATCTGTAGAGAAAAGGGTCATATTAAATCAACTTGGTCGGGTCCATAGAATTATTACTGACTCAGCCCCAAGGTACCTATCGAATAATTTTACTTATATTAGAGATGTCCACCAATACAACACCAGAGCCAGAGACTCTGATATTGTCTTTTTAAATTTAAATGTCTGGTAAGAACACCTTTTTATATACCGGCACTGTTGAGTGGAACAACCTTCCACAGCAACTCAAAGCCATGCTGACCATAACTTCATTTAAAAAGAATGTCAAAAGCTGGCTAATGATCAAGCAATATCAAAAATATTAAAAATACATATCTGTGTAATGCTCTAGGCTATGACAATGTCGTCCTGTCCTTTGTTTTGTTATGTGTTACCAAAGTATGCCTAGTAAAGGACCACAATGAAAATACATTTTCAAACTTTGTTGTGTCATCCTCTGATGCATTATCCACGTGTGATTTGTATTGTGTTTTAAATTGTCAAATACATTCTCTCTTCTCTCCAAACACCAAAACAATGTTTGATAATATTCATGTTTTTCTCAGTCGGAGATGGACGGTTAGGCTACCCTGATGGAGCCCCATATGATGCCATTCACGTAGGGGCAGCCGCGCCTACGCTCCCTACAGCTGTAAGGACTTGGCCGATCTATAACTTTCAAGCCAGTGTTTTTATTTGACTGACGACTTGAATTTATCATCAGTAATAGATGCGGTAAAGAGGTCAGTTGAACTTTAGCGAAAACAATGGAATTGCCATGGTAACACGTGGGGTTTCCTCATTGCCCCCAAGTTAAATTAGCCTACATTTAGGGTATTGTTTATGTGTATTTCACACTATGCTGAGGTAAAAATGTCAGTATATAGGGCCTCCCGAGTGGCGCAGTGATCTAAGGCACTGCATCGCAGTGTTGCGGCGTCACTACAGCCTGGGGTTCGATCCCAGGCTTTGTCATTACCGGCCGTGACCGGGAGTCCCATAGGGTGGCGCACAATTGGCCCAGCTTTGTCCGGGTTAGGTGAAGGTTTTACTTGGCTCATCGCTCTCTAGCAACTCCTTGTGGCGAGCCGGGCACCTGCAGGCTGACTTCGGTCGTCAGTTGAACAGTGTTTCCTCCGACACATTGGTGCAGCTGGCTTACGGGTTAAGCGGGCAGGTGTTTAGAAGCGCAGTTTGGTGGGTCATGTTTCGGAGGACTCGACCTTCGCCTCTCCCAAACCCGTTGGGGAGTTGCAGCGATGAGACAAGATTGTTATCACGAAATTGGGGAGAAAAAGGGGTAAAAAAAATCAAATATCTCATAATGCCTGTAGGGATGTCAACCCCAATACGTGTTCATGTCATCATCACCAATCAACTGCATTACAGTTAAAAACGACTTTGTCTACCACCACCGATTTCTGTATGCTAGCTATGCTAACCAGCTTATACAAACGGGAGTTAGCATTTAGCCATGGTATGCAGAGAAAACAGCCAAATATATCCAAATCGGACTTACATTGCCTTCAGAAAGTATTCACACCCCTTGACTTTTAACAAAGTGGGATCAAAATGTACCCATCTACACACAATACCCCATAATGACAAAGTGAAAACATGGTTTTAGATATTTTTGCAAATGTATTGAAAATGAAATACAGAAATATCTAATTTACATAGTATTCACACCCCTGAGTCAATACTTTGTAGAAGCACCTTTGGCAGTGATTACAGCTGTGAGTCGTTCTGGATATTCCACACCTGGATTGTGCAACATTTGCTAATTTATTATTTTCAAAATTCTTCAAGCTCTGTCAAATTGGTTGTTGATCATTGCTAAACAACCATTTTCAGATTTGGCCTTGTGTTTTAGGTTATTGTCCTGCTGAAAGTGGAATTCTGGTGAAAAGCAGACTGAACCAGGTTTTCCACTAGGATTTTGCCTGTGCTTAGCATTCCGTTTTATTTTTAACCAGAAAAATTCCCCAGTAATTAACGATTACAAGGATGCACATAACATGATGCAGCCACCACTATGCTTGAAAATATGGAGAGGTACTCGGTAATGTTGTATTGAATTTGCCTCAAACATAACACTTTGTATTCAGGACATAAAGTTAATTGCTTTGCCACATTTTTTGCAGTATTATTTTAGTGCCTTGTCGCAAACAAGGTGCATGTTTTAGAATATGTTTTATTCTGTACAGGCTTCCTTCTTTTCACTCTGTCAATTAGGCTAGTATTGTGGAGTAACTACAATGTTGTTAATCCCTCCTCAGTTTTCTCCTATCACAGCCATTAAACTCATGGTGAAATCCCAGAGCGGTTTCCTTTCTCTCCGGCAAATGAGTTAGGAAGGATGCCTGTATCTTTGTAGTGGCTGGGTGTATTGATACACCATCCAAAGCCTAATTAATAACTTCACCATGCTCAAAGGGATATTCAGTGTCTGTGTTTATTTTTTTATTTTTTTGGTGATCTACCAATCTTTGCGAGGCATTAGAAAACATCCCTGGTCTTTGTGGTTGAATCTGTGTTTTAAATTCACTGCTCATGTTAAAAAGTATTATTGCACACAGAGTGAGCCCATGCAACTTATTATGTGACTTGTTAAGCACATTTTTACTCCTGAACTTATTTAGGCTTGCCATGACAAAGAGGTTGAATACTTATTGACTCAAGACAATTAATTTGTAAAAATTTCAACAATAAAAAACATAATTCTACTTTGACATTATGGGGTATTGTGTGTAAGCCAATGACAAAGAAATCTAAATGGGGTATTGTGTGTAAGCCAATGACAAAGAAATCTAAATTGAATACATTTTAAATTCTGTCTAACACAATGTGGAAAAAGTCAAGGGTTGTGAATACTTTTTGAAGGCACTATAAGTAACCACATTGTGGACCTGTTACAATACATATATCATGACGGATTTGACGAATATCCACTTTGTTAGATCAGATTTATTGAATGTGTGCCAATCTGGTCAATGGAACGTCTGTGTTCCATTGCCTCCTTTACCGCATCTATATCGGAACGTCATTAAGGCCATTATGTTAGAGCATTATTACAACATTATGGGCATTATGTTAGAGCATTATTACACCATTAAATGCATTATGATGTCAAAGCATTACTACATCATTAATGGCATTAGGATTTCAGAGCAATTTAAATCATTATGGGAATTACAGTGGGGGAAAAAAGTATTTAGTCAGCCACCAATTGTGCAAGTTCTCCCACTTAAAAAGATGAGAGAGGCCTGTAATTTTCATCATAGGTACACGTCAACTATGACAGACAAATTGAGGGAAAAATCCAGAAAATCACATTGTAGGATTTTTAATGAATTTATTTGCAAATTATGGTGGAAAATAAGTATTTGGTCCCCTACAAACAAGCAAGATTTCTGGCTCTCACAGACCTGTAACTTCTTCTTTAAGAGGCTCCTCTGTCCTCCACTCGTTACCTGTATTAATGGCACCTGTTTGAACTTGTTATCAGTATAAAAGACACCTGTCCACAACCTCAAACAGTCACACTCCAAACTCCACTATGGCCAAGACCAAAGAGCTGTCAAAGGACACCAGAAACAAAATTGTAGACCTGCACCAGGCTGGGAAGACTGAATCTGCAATAGGTAAGCAGCTTGGTTTGAAGAAATCAACTGTGGGAGCAATTATTAGGAAATGGAAGACATACAAGACCACTGATAATCTCCCTCGATCTGGGGCTCCACGCAAGATCTCACCCCGTGGGGTCAAAATGATCACAAGAACGGTGAGCAAAAATCCCAGAACCACACGGGGGGACCTAGTGAATGACCTGCAGAGAGCTGGGACCAAAGTAACAAAGCCTACCATCAGTAACACACTACGCCGCCAGGGACTCAAATCCTGCAGTGCCAGACGTGTCCCCCTGCTTAAGCCAGTACATGTCCAGGCCCGTCTGAAGTTTTCTAGAGTGCATGTGGATGATCCAGAAGAGGATTGGGAGAATGTCATATGGTCAGATGAATCCAAAATAGAACTTTTTGGTAAAAACTCAACTCGTCGTGTTTGGAGGACAAAGAATGCTGAGTTGCATCCAAAGAACACCATACCTACTGTGAAGCATGGGGGTGGAAACATCATGCTTTGGGGCTGTTTTTCTGCAAAGGGACCAGGACGACTGATCCGTGTAAAGGAAAGAATGAATGGGGCCATGTATCGTGAGATTTTGAGTGAAAACCTCCTTCCATCAGCAAGGGCATTGAAGATTAAACGTGGCTGGGTCTTTCAGCATGACAATGATCCCAAACACACCGCCCGGGCAACGAAGGAGTGGCTTCGTAAGCAGTATTTCAAGGACCTGGAGTGGCCTAGCCAGTCTCCAGATCTCAACCCCATAGAAAATCTTTGGAGGGAGTTGAAAGTCTGTGTTGCCCAGCGACAGCCCCAAAACATCACTGCTCTAGAGGAGATCTGCATGGAGGAATGGGCCAAAATACCGGCAACAGTGTGTGAAAACCTTGTGAAGACTTACAGAAAACGTTTGACCTGTGTCATTGCCAACAAAGGGTATATAACAAAGTATTGAGAAACTTTTGTTATTGACCAAATACTTATTTTCCACCATAATTTGCAAATAAATTCATAAAAAATCCTACAATGTGATTTTCTGGAGAGAAAAAAATGCTCATTTTGTCTGTCATAGTTGACGTGTACCTATGATGAAAATTACAGGCCTCTCTCATCTTTTTAAGTGGGAGAACTTGCACAATTGGTGGCTGACTAAATACTTTTTTCCCCCACTGTATATCAGAGCATTATAACATCATTAACATATATTTTACAACATTGTCTTTTCACAAGGGAGGTAAAGTAAATGTGTGCATTTTTCATGCTCAAGATAATTACTTAAAAACCTGTGATATTGCATTCTCATCATTTATGCCTTCATTACACAGCTCCTGGATCAGTTGAAGCCTGGTGGAAGGCTGGTCTTGCCTGTTGGTCCTGATGGGGGAAGCCAGGTCCTAGAACAGTACGATCGCCAGAGTGACGGCACCTTCATCAGGAAAGCCCTAATGGGTGTGATCTATGTTCCTTTGACTGACAAGCGACGCCAATGGCCTGGGTACGTATACAGACTGACCAGTTGAAAGCTATGATCCTTTATTGATGTCACTTGTTAAATCCACTACAATCAGTGATGAAGGGGAGTTGACAGGTTAAATATGGATTTTTTAGCCTTGAGACAATTGAGACATGGATTGTGTGAGTGCCATTCAGAGGGTGAATGGGCAAGACAAAATATTTACGTGCCGGTTTGTGTCAAGAACAGCAACGGTGCTGGGTTTTTCACGCTGAACAGTTTCCCATGTGTATCAAGAATGGTCCACCACCCAAAGGACGTCCAGCCAACTTGACACAACTGTGGGAAGCATTGGAGTCAACATGGGCCAGCATCCCTGTGGAACGCTTTCGACACCTCGTAGAGTTCATGCGTCGACGAATTGAGGCTGTTCTGATGGCAAAGGGAGGGGGGTGCAACTCAATATTAGGAAGGTTTTCGAATGTTTGGTATACACAGCGTATATAATGCAGATCAATGAGCAAAACAAACAAAATATTAAAGTCCTAAAACCTATACTTTGTATGTAAATTACCCTGAAGTCAGTTTGTCACCATGACCTGCTATCATGACCTTACCTTAGTTCATCATCCCACATCTAGAATTATTTCTCCTGAGAGATGCTGTTCTGTGTTTCTCTTTCCAGAGGTGAGCTCTGACTGCCATATGGTGTGGTTGCCCCTGCAGGAGATGGCGCTGGTGCTGCAGCTCTTGTGTTCCCTAGATCGCCATATGTCTGCAGCCTAGCAACACGTCCTATGTGCTTATTGACTAAAACTGGACCGCAGATGACAGTTGTCCCAGGGGGTTGAAGAGGGTTGCCAAGGGCTTTTGGATTAATGAGTCTGTCTGTGGTTACTATCGTTCATTTAAGTGTACCCGTTTTGTACATGGAGGAGTTGCATTCAGAACATCAACACAATGTTTATGTTCCTCACAGATGTCTGGCTGAAAGGTTGGCTTATTTATTATAAGGTTACATAAAATATACATATGATGTAATTTTACAAAGATGCAACACTCATACAAATTAAGTGATTGGGCTTCATCAACCAACATGAAGATTAGATGTCTTGATAAAAGTGAACAAATTAATGTCTGACGTGAATCCAAGTAAACATAGTGACCTAAATGACCACAATTACTCTGTCTTAGCAACAGAAAAACAACCCGTTTTACATAGCGATGAGAATACATGTACTTTATTTTGAAAAAATTATTGAAATGATTATACAGAAATGCCATACCCTATTAATAAAAACATAGTAATGAAAATGCTTGTTTGTGTGTAAATGTATGGGAAATAATGTTGCTTTCTTTGAGACATTGTGGATTGTTTGGCTTCGGTTTTTGTATCCATCTACAGTGCCTTCAAAGTATTCACACCCCTTGACTTTTTCCACATTTTGTTGTGTTTCAGCCTGAATTTCAAGTGGATAAAATTTAGTGTTTATTTTCACTGGCCTACACAATACCCCATAATGTCAGTGGAATTATGTTTTTAGACATTTTTACAAATTCATTCTAAATAAAAAGCTGAAATGTCTTGAGTGAATAAGTATTCAACCCCTTTGTTTTGGCAAGCCTAAATTAATTCAGGATAAAAAAATTGCTTAACAAATCAAATCACATTTTGTTGGCCACATACACATATTTAGCATAAGTTATTGTGGGTGTAGCAAAATGCTTTTGATCCTAGCTCCAACAGTGCAGTAATATCTAACAATACACACATCTAAAAATGTAAAAGAATGGAATTAAGAAATATATAAATATTAGGACGAGCAATGTCGGAGTCCAGAGTGAGTATGTATGTATGTACACTGCCGTTCAAAAGTTTGGGGTCACTTAGAAAGGTCCTTGTTTTGGAAAGAAAAGCAATTTTTTTGTCCATTAAAATAACATCAAATTGATCAGAAATACAGTGTAGACATTGTTAATGTTGTAAATGGCTATTGTAGCTGGAAACGGCAGATTTTGTATGGAATATCTACACATAGGCGTACAGAGGCCCATTATCAGCAACCATCAGTCCTGTGTTCCAATGGCATGTTGTGTTTGCTAATCCAAGTTTATCATTTTAAAAGGCTAATTGATCATTAGAAAACCCTTTTGCAATTATGTTAGCACAGCTGAAAACTGTTGTGCTGATTTAAAGAAGCAATACAACTGGATTTCTTGAGACTAGTTGAGTATCTGGAGCATCAGCAATTGTGGGTTCGATTACAGGCTCAAAATGGCCAGAAACAAATAACTTTATCTGAAACTCGTCAGTCTATTTTTGTTCTGAGAAATGAAAGCTATTCCATGCGAGAAATTGCCAAGAAACTGAAGATCTCGTACAACGCTGTGTACTACTCCCTTCACAGAACAGCGCAAACAGGCTCTAACCATAATAGAAAGAGGAGTGGGAGGCCCCGGTGCACAACTGAGCAAGAGGACAAATACAGAGTGTCTAGTTTGAGAAACAGACGCCTCACAGGTCCTCAACTGGCAGCTTCATTAAATAGTACCCACAGAACACCAGTCTCAACGGCAACAGTGAAGAAACGACTCCGGGATGCAGAGTTGCAAAGAAAAAGCCATATCTCAGACTGCCCATCTTAATATTATATTTTTATTGGTATGGGTTTTTCACTACTAAATGACACCAATAAGAAGAAGAGACTTGCTTGGACCAAGAAACACGAGCAATGGACATTAGACCAGTGGAAATGTGTCCTTTGGTCTGCAGCCCAAATTTGAGATTTTTGGAGATCCAAATGCCGTGTTTTTGTGAGACGCGGTGTGGGTGAACGGATGATCTCCACATGTGTATTTGCCACCATAAAGCATGGAGGAGGCGGTGTTAGAGTGTGGGGGTGCTTTATTGGTGACACTGTCTGTGATTTATTTAGAATTCACAGCATTCTGCAGCGATACGCCATCCCATCTGGTTTGGGCTTAGTGGGACTATCATTTGTTTTTCAACAGGACAATGACCCAACACACCTCCAGGCTGCGTAAGGGCTATTTTACCAAGAAGGTGAGTGATGGAGTGCTGCATCAGATGACCTGGCCTCCACAATCCCCCGATCTCAACCAAATTGAGATGGTTTGGGATGAGTCGGACCGCAGAGTGAAGGAAAAGCAGCCAACAAGTGCTCAGCATATGTGGGAACTCCTTCAAGACTGTTGGAAAAGTATTCCAGGTGAAGCTGGTTGAGAGAACGCTAAGAGTGTGCAAAGCTGTCATCACGGCAAAGGGTTGCTATTTGAAGAATCTCAAATATAAAATAAATTTGTTTAACACTTATTTGGTTAGTACATGATTCCATACAGTGAGGGAAAAAAGTATTTGATCCCCTGCTGATTTTGTATGTTTGCCCACTGACAAAGAAATGATCAGTCTATAATTTTAATGGTAGATTTATTTGAACAGTGAGAGACAGAATAACAACAAAAAAATCCAGAAAAACGCATGTCAAACATTTTATGAATTTATTTGCATTTTAATGAGGGAAATAAGTATTTGACCCCTGTGCAAAACATGACTTAGTACTTGGTGGCAAAACTCTTGTTGGCAATCACAGAGGTCAGATGTTTCTTCTGTTGGCCACCAGGTTTGCACACATCTCAGGAGGGAATTTGTCCCACTCCTCTTTGCAGATCTTCTCCAAGTCATTAAGGTTTCGAGGCTGACGTTTGGCAACTCGAACCTTCAGCTCCCTCCACAGATCTTCTATGGGATTAAGGTCTGGAGACTGGCTAGGCCACTCCAGGACCTTAATGTGCTTCTTCTTGAGCCACTCCTTTGTTGACTTGGCCGTGTGTTTTGGGTCATTGTCATGCTGGAATACCCATCCACGACCTACTTTCAATGAGGGAAGGAGGTTCTCACCCAAGATTTGACGGTACATGGCCCCGTCCATCATCCCTTTGATGCGGTGAAGTTGTCCTGTCCCCTTAGCAGAAAAACTGCCCCAAAGCATAATGTTTCCACCTCCATGTTTGACGGTGGGGATGGTGTTCTTGGGGTCATAGGCAGCATTCCTCCTCCTCCAAACACGGCGAGTTGAGTTGATGCCAAAGAGCTCCATTTTGGTCTCATCTGACCACAACACTTTCACCCAGTTCTCCTCTGAATCATTCAGATGTTCATTGGCAAACTTCAGACGGGCATGTATATATGCTTTCTTGAGCAGGGGGACCTTGCGGGCGCTGCAGGATGTCAGTCCTTCAAGGCATAGTGTGTTATCAATTGTTTTCTTGGTGACTATGGTCCCAGCTGCCTTGAGATCATTGACAAGATCCTCCCGCGTAGTTCTGGGCTGGTTCCTCACCGTTCTCATGATCATTGCAACTCCACGAGGTGAGATCTTCCATGGAGCCCCAGGCCGAGGGAGATTGACAGTTATTTTGTGTTTCTTCCATTTGCGAATGATCGCACCAACTGTTGTCACCTTCTCACCAAGCTGCTTGGCGATGGTCTTGTAGCCCATTCCAGCCTTGTGTAGGTCTACAATCTTGTCCCTGACATCCTTGGAGAGCTCTTTGGTCTTGGCCAAAGTGGAGAGTTTGGAATCTGATTGATTGATTTCTTCTGTGGACATGTGTCTTTTATACAGGTAACAAGCTGAGATTAGGAGCACTCCCTTTAAGAGTGTGTGCCTAATCTCAGCTCGTTACCTGTATAAAAGACACCTGGGAGCCAGAAATCTTTCTGATTGAGAGGGGGTCAAATACTTATTTCCCTCATTAAAATGCAAATAAATGTATAACATTTTTGACATGCGTTTTTCTGGAGTTTTTTGTTGTTATTCTGTCTCTCACTGTTCAAATTATAGACTGATCATTTCTTTGTCAGTGGGCAAACGTACAAAATCAGCAGGGGATCAAATACTTTTTTCCCTCACTGTAGAAAAACCCTGGAATGAGTAGGTGTGTCCAAAGTTTTGACTTGTTCTGTATATATATGATGGCATGTATAGACATTATGGACAGTACATGGATAGAATACAGTGCATTTGGAAAGTATTCAGACCACATTTTATTACTTTATTGCCTTATTCTAAAATGGATGTAAAAATAAATAAATGTATCTTATCAATCTACACACAATACACCATAATAACAAAGCGAAACAGGTTTTTAGAAATGTTTGCAAATGTATTTAAACAAGTATTCAGACCCTTTGCTATGAGTCTCGAAATTGAGCTCAGGTGCATCCTGTTTCCATTGATCATCCTTGAGATGTTTCTACAACTTGATTGGAGTCCACCTGTGGTACATTCAATTGATTGGACATGATTTGGAAAGGCACATACCTGTCTATATAAGGTCCCACAGTTGACAGTGCATGTCAGAGCAAAAACCAAGCCATGAGGTCGAAGGAATTGTACGTAGAGCTCCGAGACAGAATTGTGTTGAGGCACAGATCTAGTGAAGGGTACCCAAACAATTTCTGCAGCATTGAAGGTCCCCAAGAACATTCTTAAATGGAAATTGTTTGGAACCACCAAGACTCTTCCAAGAGCTGGCCGCCCGACCAAACTGAGTCAGGATCGAGCGAAAGATGAACAGAGCAAAGTATAGAGAGATCCTAGATGAAAACCTGCTCCAGAGCGCTCATGACATCAGACTGGGGCGAAGGTTCACCTTACAACAGGACAACAACCCTACACACACTGCCAAGACAACGCAGGAGTGGCTTCGGGACATGTCTCTGAAAGTCCTTGAGTGGCCCAGCCAGAGCCCGGACTTGAACCCGATCTAACATCTCTGGAGAGACCTGAAAATAGCTGTGCAACAACGCTCTCCATCCAACCTGACAGAGCTTGAGAGGATATGCAGAGAAAAATGGGAGAAACTCCCCAAATACAGGTGTGCCAAGCTTGTAGTGTCATACTCAAGAAGAATCGATGCTGTAATCGCTGACAAAGGTGCTTCAACAAAGTACTGAGTAAAGGGTCTGAATACTTATGTAAATGTGCTGTTCCCGTTTTTTTTATTTTATAAATTTGCTAAAACTTCTAAAAACTTGTTTTTGCTTTGTCATTATGTGGGATTGTGTGTAGATTAATGAGGGGATTTTTTTTTTGAATCAATTTGAGAATAGGGCTGTAATGTAATAAAAAGTTAAGGGGTCTGAATACTTTCCGAATGCACTGTAATAGCATGTAGGTCTACTGTAGCATAGTAGGCCTATACAATGTTGCACCAAAAACACCTCCTCAGTCTATTCTTATCTGAAGCTGAAAACTCAAAAATAAATCCTCCTGCGGCCAAAACTCAACAGCGCCCACCAGTAGGCTGGATACAGTTTATGTTCTGATTAAAACAAAATAGGCCTACAAGAAAGGCTAATACAGTGGGGAAAAAAAGTATTTAGTCAGCCACCAATTGTGCAAGTTC